AAAGAAGCTGAAACTTCTCTTGCGCGAAGGATCTGCACCTTCACAGTTCACTTGGCCCAAGGATAACATCCCTGAGCCATCGGTTGTTCTCGCTACTGTTGTTGAGTTGATGAAATTTCACCGAAATGTCATGAGACACAATTTTGGGAAGCTTAACAATTCTCCACATTGTCCTTCATCGACATCTCCCCTAAGTGACAATTCTACCCTTCAGAATGTCATTCAGGACACGGATAGCCCAACCCTTTCCTCTATCCAGGGTCGGTGGTGTACTGGTGAAGATCCCATGCTCTTCAAAGAACGATGGGAAAAACTCTTTGCAGAATTTTGCGACACGGAGAAGGTTGACCCGAGCAAACTTTCCGAATTGTACGACAGCATGAAATTCGATGCACTCCACAACAGACACTTTCTTGAGTGGGTGTTCATGCCCCCAGATGAGGGGACCAACGAGCATGAACGGCACAGCTTCAATTCCAATAATACTAACCGTCACGATCTTGTCGGGGACAAAATACCCGGACATGACAGCCTAACAAGCGAAGGAATGGAGGAAAACGTGGAGAATCCCACCTTATCACATCTCCTCCGATTCAAGAAGCGAGCACATGCATTCGACTCATTACCGCATCTGAGGGCCCTTGACGACTCGTATGATCACTATTTCAAGCTGTACCCAGGCTCTAGTCCTACGAAAATCAAAATGGATGGACGACTCTCAAAACTCCGGGAGTTATACAAATTGGCCAAAGTTCTATTTGACTATGTGACTCCTCAGGAGTACGGGATTACCGACTCTGAGAAACTGGAAATAGGCTTGTTGACGTCCTTACCCCTTCTTCAGGAGATCGTCAGAGACCTCGAAGAAGTCCAAGCGTCTCCAGATGCGAAATCTTTTTTTTACTTCACTAAGGAGTCCCATATCTATACCCTCCTGAACTGCATCATCGAGGGCGGAATTCAGACAAAGATAGCCAGAAGCGCTATACCTGAATTGGATTACCTATCACAAATCTGTTTCGAGCTGTACGAGGCTAAGGATTGTGAATCATCCACAAGTTCCTATTCAATCCGTATCTCTATCAGTCCTGGCTGCCACGCTTTTGATCCGCTGGATGTGCAACTTGACTCGCGGCATGCGATTGGTTGCGCTCCGAGAAGAAGCCTAACCGCCCATCAGGACTGGAAAGAGGTCATTGAAACCCTCAAAGCGAAATTCGACACGTGCGTTTCACAACCCACCTTCATCCCTCTACGTTTTATAGGGCCAACGACTGATGAGAATTCTATAGGGTTAAACTTCCCAAGACTTTCATTGCCGTAAATTTGAGCGATAAGCATGTGTCCGGTTATCAATCATAGGTTTGCCCAGCTGTATGTGATGAGAAATGTAAAATAATGACAACCATTCACTTGACCGCAAAGCAGGAGTGTGATGTACGTGGTTAGGTAGAGAAATAGAGGCGTATGTTATCATGCTCACAAGCAGTTATATTTGTTAAAGTTGGTCGCAGCTTAGGTCGCAAGTCTATCTTATATACACTAACAGGACATAGGTAGCACGTAGTTGGTGATATAGCAAGTCGACAAAACCACTTGATGATGGCATCAGGACACCTGTAGGTTCCAGCAAAACCCCACACCAAATTAGGCAGGTAACAGTTATGTATGTGATTTGCCAGAAATCTGAATTCTCTGCACATATCCTAGAGCCAGGCTCAAGGGTAGTAGTATCCTAGGATGGGCATTAGACGTGGCTATTACCTTTAGTCTGTTACCTGCCAGGTCAGGTATGCAAGAGGGTGTCGCGGTATCACTATGTACCTTACCCTTAATCTAATGATAAGCTTACCCTGTAGTCTAGATAGTGGGCCCTTGGGTATGTCTATCTGTGCCAGGTGCTCCCACACTGTAGATATAGTGTGGGTGCACTACAGCATAACTTCTAACCACAGCATAATTTCTGTATACCTTTTATATAGCATCACTATATAAAAGGTACATATAGATTATTCACTTTATATATATACACATTTAGTTTTTCTAATTATTTATTATTCAGATATATAAGTGTCTAGCTTTTATTACTATCTTTATTGTTAGAAAGGAAAATTTATAATATAATCTCTTATTTTCTTTTCTCTAAGAAAGAGTTTTATAGAGGGAAACTTTGCACACTCTTATATCTCTCTAATTCTTAGTTAATATTAGAATTACAAGAGGGAAGATCTTATAATTAAAAGCCCTCTAAGAGTTTTATACTACCTAAAATATCTACCCTGAGTAAATACCCTATATTCGATATAGGAAGTATATACCTTTTATATGGTATTGCCATATGGAAGGTACAACAAAATTATGCTGTGGTTGGAAGTTATGCTGTGGTGCGGTGCGCTGCTTAAGGCACAGAAACCTTAGTACCTAGTACCTTACCTGTGGGCTAGGCTACCCATCATTTCATGTAAGGCTTACTGTACAGAAGTAATAATAGTAATGACAAGTTGCTGCCCAAGTGGATAACAGGTAATAAATGTGTAATAATATGATTATTCATTTACCCCACCCCGCCATGCTGTTGCGGCTCGTAGAAGTAGTCTTTCCCACCATTATTCAATGCCACATCTTAACCCTCCTTCCCAAGCAATGTAAGTTGGATCATGTCGCCTCTAGTACGAAAGCTACTGATTCAGGTGCTAAAATAGAGGAATGGAGCCATTGCCAGATGCTATTTGGGCTGATGCCTCGCAATTTTCTTGTAATTTTTCCAATGGCGCCATTCAATGCAGTGAACTTCAGGGGCAGAGGGAGCTTAGGATTGCCATAGATGATGTGATCTGCATCCTACCACATGCTAGCCAGGATGGAAAGAAGTACAATATGCTCTATCTACGAAATGGTCGAAAAGAGGCGACGTCGTCTGTTCCGCCGGGAGATTGTGGATCTTCTCTGGCAAGTATACAATTGGTTTCTCCACCCTCGACACTACTATCACGATATTTCTGTGCGGAACTTCCCCAACATCTCAAGCCTTCGGTGGACCAGGCGATTGATCTTCATGTCATTATCTCGACTCCCTCAGGGACCGGCAAGGCAAAGAATTTCTTCAAAAACATCGTACAACCATACTTGGCACATATCGGATTGACGGAGTATGAAGTCCATGAGACACAATCAGCGCGATCTATACTCGAACTCTGTCAATCAAGGCTTATTGGTCGTGCAAAACTTGGTTTTGCCCAAACAATTATTCTTCTTTCTGGGGATGGTGGCCTGAATGATATTGTCGATTCATTCCATGGTGCTGTCGGTGTTTCACTTGTTCCTCCAATTGTCGCTCTGATACCGATGGGGACGGGTAATGCCATGGCAAGCTCATTAGGGCTGCTCTCTCGCCCGACGGCAGGCTTGACCGTCCTGCTGAAAGGGTCACCGAAACCTATACCCACCTTAGTCGCTAATTTTTCTCCTGGTGCGCAATATGTCACGGATGAGGGTCACACTCTGATTCCTATGCTTGATAGCTCCATGACCCAGTCCTCAGTGAATTTAATTCACGGCGTGGTTGTCGCAAGCTGGGGGTTTCACGCTGCCTTAGTTGCTGACAGTGACACTTCGGAATATAGAAGGTTCGGAGCCGAGAGGTTCCAGATGGCAGCCAAGGAGCTCCTTTTCCCTTCTAGCGGCGTCGAGACGCACAGGTATAAAGGTAATATCACATTATTCCGGTCTAACATAGCGACCGATGGAAACTCCGTGGACACCTTAGAATGCGGAGAACACATGTACGTTCTCGCTACACTCGTTCCAAGGCTCGAGAAAGACTTTCTCATCTCGCCGGAGTCGGTTGCATTAGATGGCAAGTTGAGAATAATTCGTTTTGGCGCCGTCTCCGCAGAAAAAGCCATGCAACTAATGTCTCTCGCGTATGATGGGGGGCGGCATGTACACGAAAGCAGCGTCCTCTACACGGAAGTTGAAGGCTTCAGAATCGATTTTCGTGAGGCTGAGCAGAAGTGGAGGCGAGTTTGCGTAGATGGGAAAATCGTCACCGTTGAGGAAGACGGCTGGATGGAAGTGCTGAAAGGATCTACGGGTCACGTAAATATACTGGTTTAATGGTTGGACACCATGTTCTCATCAAGTGATTTCCCAAATACTCGTCTTGACCTGACCAGGTGTCCAACGAGATCAATGATAGGGGTGGGACCGAGGGCGACGAGTTTGCTCGATACATATCCATCAAAGACGATATTCAAATGACCACGGGTTGCAGTTTGCACTTACATCGGGTGTTAGGCATTCGTGTACATCCAGGCTGGCCTTGAGAATAGAAGCATATGGGAACATGTACTAGTCTGATTCACGTTGTACTTATTATCAATTCTGGAAATGCTCCCATAACTACTTTGTGTTATCTACGAGGCTACTAGCCATTCTTATGCAGTCTTCAGTAGCCCACTGGGCATGGCAGCCGCACTTCCAGGATTGAGCGGCAGTCAATGATTCTAGTCAGAAGTACAATCGCACCTGTACAGAAGCGTCTTTACAAAGAGTCAACACAAGGTGACTAGGGCAACCAGAGCCTACTGCTCTTCGGGTTTGGGTCAGTGAACTTGTCCTTGATTGTAGAACGCAGTCGGGGCACAAGGATGCTAATTATGGTGACAATGGCAATAATTTCTTAATCTCTTAAATAATGGGAGTTTCCTGAATTTGCCAGGTTTGTAATTTTAATGATTAAGCAAGACATCTTAGTGATCATTCAATCATAGAGGCGAACTATAAGCGCATAGGAAATGCAAGATGTTCAGGTAAATATGTTTAGTGGATAGCTAGGGTGCAATCCTATTCTCTTGCCAGAAAACAGCCCGCACCAAATTTAAGGGAAAAAGCTGATTGCACAATGAGTAATCAAATCGTAGGTTAAGCTAATACTGTATTCACAATATAAGCAGCTTTGATGTTCCTGATAAATCCCACAGCAAGAAATGCCATTCATATTAGAACAATTCCACAACCTTCTCGTCATCATTCTGTGCAGACCCTTGCTGTATATGGATATCTGAATATGAGGAGATAGAATTTGTGCCTTCAATTTGAGCTTGGCTGGCATTTTCCTCTCCTTCCTCATCACGCATCAGCACCTGGACTAGCCTGTCACAGGCTTCGCGCACAGCTTCATCATCAACATGGAGATGGCATTCCCGGATGATGGGATACACATTGATAGCCCTCATTTTGTCACGACCTTCTCGTGTCGTTGTCAGCAGTAACAATGTCTCCAAGTGCGTTAAAATGATGCTGTTATCACTATCCCTCTGCTTATCTGGGGGTAGCAGCTGCAGGTCTGGCAACATTGCCATTGACTCTTCCTCGCTGAATTCCTCCGGTCCTGTAATCGGCAGCAACACGTAAGGAAGTAGATTGGCTTCGTCTGCAGAGAGCAGAGTCGGATGAAACGGAATTTCGAAAGCGACATTTTTAATCGTTGACGCCACCCCCTTTCTCCGAACTGTACTTTCATGCTCAGTGAAGACTGTCAATTTAGTGACAGGGACAACGCCATCATAATCCTGTCGGGTGGTAAAATATGCGCGCCCTGCCTCAGATTTGGAGAGATCGGCGAATAAATAGGAGAGATAATCAAAATTGGCATTCTTATTTAAAGCACCCTCAGCGCCTTTCACGAAACAATCCATCAGTTGATCGATCGCCATAGTAGACGTGGAAATGGATTCGGCAGTCCTCCGTTTCAACGTAATGAGCCGGCTCAGTTTATCTGACTTGGCGAGATTGGCGAAGAGCATAGCAATGTCATCCGCGATTGGTTCCTTGACGTTCTTTTAGGTTGACCGAGTTGTCAGCATAGACCCTGATCTCCTTAAGCGTCGCAGAAAGAAGAGGTTGGTATCCTCACCGTTATCTTCACCATGAGAGTCTCTATAAACGCATCATCTTCCGCCAGATTTGCCAATACTTCCTGGTCAGCAGAGATATTGATGAGAATTGTAAGTGCATTTTTCGCGATTGGCTAGTTAGTTTCAGCGAGACCGTTCCCAAATTCGATATGTTAGAAGCTCATTACTGACAGTATAATCTCGAACCAGAAGCTTGAGATCGCGCACTGGAAGAAGCTGATGACGTTTGAAGATGTCCGATTGAGCGGTGGAGAAGCCAACGAGGTTTTCGCATGCTAAATTGGACGCAAGCGTTAGAGCATTGAACTGATGTTTGATTGTTCAGGCTCCCTGATCGAGAGGGACGTTTCTACCAATTTGTCTTATCTGAGTATTTCCATGGTGGAGGAACTCAACAAGCTGTCTCCATGGAGAGATAAAGACTGATTAGCCTCCCTAATCCTTCCATTTAAGGGGTCCCCAATTTTGCTTGCTTTCGTTGCTAGAGAGATTCTTTCCCTTCTCTTCCATCTGAAATTTCTGTGTTCCCATCCATCTCTCCAGCTAACAGTTAGGGACCTCGCGGACTCACCTCTTCTATGACTGTTGGCATACTGAGGGAAATTCCAGGGACTGGGAAAACAAAGAACAGACAATAGAGTCTATAGACTGAAGCTAAACCTTTTTGTTTCCTCTCTTTTCGCTCTTTCGTTGGCTGTTATTGCAGGTAAGTGGAGTGATACATGCTACCTTATTAGATCTATCTACAGGAAAATTTTTGGTGCGAGGACTTTTCTCCAACGTCACTGGTGTGGGGTTATGAACTTATTATAACTTACCCCTCCTCTGGTGATCAGGTACATAGTCCGGTATACAGATTGCCTCACGGTGTTTCCTTAAATATAGTTTAAATTTGAATATTTACTAATATTGGCAGCTTTGCAAGCACACTTAATTCTTCCAGGATTCAAGACTCAGATGAATCCTACATCTGACGAATCTTATCCCTTTTCCTCATAAAAGCGGGTACAAGAAAACAACTCTAGGTAGCGTAGTGAATGTATGCCAGCAACTTATATATGATTACCAAACTGATGAAACAGTATGGAGCCTTCACATTCCCTCAGCAAAAGGTTCCCTCTGCAGATAGAACGGTGTGGGGGTTGGCCACTCAGTAGTCAAGGTAAGTAGAAGTGGGCCAGAATAGTAATGCCTACAACTCCATATGTATGGATGGCTCATTACGCTAAAGTCGACCATCCTGACAGCCGAACTTAAACGACGGGGCTCGAAATCATCAAAGAACATCCAGTTAGATCCCTTACGAGGTCGCAAAACCAAACAAGTCATCTCTTCGCAGATTACAAAAGAGGGAAGGATAGAAACATGGGTGCAGAAACAATTGACCTCAAGGATATACATGATTTTCTGATAGAACTAGCTTCCAAGGCTGGAGAAATCATTACCAATGCCTTGCCGAACACAGGAACTACAGGGTCAAAGAAGAACAGTGAGTTTCCAGTCTGTGCCCAGCTGGGTTTTAAGGTATTCACCTCTTCCATAGCCGCAGATCTCGTCACTGAATATGATCGTGCGGTTGAGAAAATGATATCTACAGCGTTAGCAGGGAGATATCCGCAGTACCAGTAAGTCGTAAATGACCCCTTCTATAATGTTCGCCAACAGGCCAAAGCGATGATGACGAATCTCTCTCTTAATTAGCGATGAGAAGAGCTAACAGTCCACACCACTATAGATTTCATGGCGAGGAGACATATGACCCTGCAAGTCCACTAACTGATGCCCCCACATTCGTCGTCGATCCCATCGACGGTACAGTCAATTTTGTGCACGGATTCCCATATGCATGCATCTCTCTCGGCTTTGCGATCGACAGGAAACCGGTCGTTGGTGTTGTTTACAATCCATTCAGCAATACCCTCTACTCCGCCATTCGTGGAGAAGGGGCGTATTTAAATCGCAACACTAAACTTCCGCTCGACGCTAGGAGCCTTGAGCCATTGAATGGCCTAGAGAACGCTCTCATCGGCGTTGAGTGGGGTTCGGAGAGAGCAGGCAAGAATTGGGCGACGAAGGTACGGACATTTGAAAATCTCGGTAAAACCAAGGATGATGGTGGTGCAATGGTACGCTCAATGCGCAGCATGGGCTCAGCTGCATTAAACCTTTGCGCCGTCGCATGTGGGAATCTCGATTTGTATTGGGAAGGTGGTTGCTGGGCCTGGGATGTTTGCGCTGGCTGGGTCATTCTGACAGAAGCTGGCGGTATAATCGTGGACGGCAACCCTGGCAACTGGGAAGCCAGCGTTGATGGGCGAAAGTATCTCGCAGTCCGAGGATCGCCAAATCAAGCAGGACAGAAGGAGCTCATCGAGGAGTTTTGGGGGCATATACAAGGCCATCTCGAGTATTGATTTGAATAGTGAGTTGAGCCCTTTCAAGCACGCCCTCGAAACTGCCGGTTTCCGGCTACCGCAAGTCTTGCTCTCAATACCAAACGAGGAAAGTGGTTGACAATATTGAGTACTCAAAGTGAGGGAGAAAGTCTCCCCGCCATCATGTTACAATGTACATCTCAGTCACAATGACACATCAGTTCGGCAATATGTAAAACTCAAGAATACCTAAGATATTCTCCGGCATGCCTGTGCCCTGTAGTCATCAAGATGCCTACATCCGGCTCGTAATTACCGGCATTTTGGTCTACGTGATCAATGATAGTCTGACTCTTCATCCTAGCTATTGACAGCTTTGTTGCGCGCCAACGGTGCTGTTTTCGCCCCTTCCTGAGTTTTGGCCTCGGTCGAAGGGCTTACTGCGTATTGGCGATGCTCTTACCGGTCGAGTAAGCTTGGATTTGTATCGCTGAGAAATTGGCCGGTGCCGTATGACCTGCAGGTTGAAGTCGTTTCTTCATCCAACAAACCAGCCTAGGACTGACTTCCACCATCCGTATCGCAGGTTGTCCCTACAGGTATATGTGCCTCCTGGACGCTTTCTCCCGGCCTTTTCTGACTCTCGTTCAGGGAATCCTGTCGAAAGTGACTATCGACGAGATGCTTCACTACGGGCCAGCCGTACGCATTTGTGAACATTCGCCTCACGATGATGTTATTGTGAGCATCTGGTTCAAGGCGAACAAGGACTTTGCGCCATGACATTCCACGGTGATAAGCCCTGGCGATTTTCTCCTCAACTTTCAGACCACCGGGCATCGCATTTCCGTCATTGGTAGAGCGACTTTCATCGCAGCCTGAATCCCGCGGACCCTCCGAAGCCTTACTCTCAAAAGAGCTCAATGGCGAGGTCTTGCGCTTGGCAGACAAAGGAGGAGGTATGTCCTCGGGGTAATATATACGGTCGTGAAATATTGTCTTTGGCCTGGAAGCAGGATTCACAATAAACTGAACCGGTGGCAGAGGTGGCATGAGAAGATCTCCGGCTGATTCAAAAAATGTGGTCCTTGGGGGAGCGTTAAGCCCGGATTCCTCGTAAGAAGACTGTCGCGAAAGAGGTCCTTCAAGGGGAAACGGTGTAGAGGTGGACGCATGGGCGAAGTCAGACGTGGTACTCAGAGTCTGACTCCGCTTGTAGACTTTTGTATGTTTATGCCTAGATGATACAGTTGTTGCTCTTTTTGGCCGAAAAATCGAGAGAAAAGCGCTCAGCGGGTTGAGCGAAGGCTGAATCGAAGATATCTTAGGTTCCTGATTCTGTCTTGAGCCGCCTAGCTCTATTTGCGGCGGATGGCTTGCGCTTTCGCCAGTGGATAAAGCCGGAGAATCAACAATTTGGACTGTCTCAGCTTGCTCTTGTTGTTGGACCTCCTCTGACGGTGAATTGATCCTGCCGCTATCGCGATGATCAAGTCTGGCGGGCGACGCATTGCTATCGATAGGAGAATGAGGTGACCGAAGTGAGACCGAATTAGCACCGGTTAACTCTGCCCATCCCCATTCCGCCATTGTGCTAACAAGGCCGTTCTGCCTCCTTGCCTTTTCAACGCGCTCCAATCCTCTCCAATCAAGAAATAATAGGCACGAAGTTCGCAAAGGCACAATCCCATCATTAACCACGTTGGAATAGACCGTGCGACGGTCAAACTTAGAAAGCGCCTCATGAGCTGGACCACAGGGAAGTACTCTTAGTAAAGGCTTAGGTCCATGATCTACATGTTCCCGTGGCTTTGTAGAAGTACCCCTGCCGCCGATTACCGCCTCCCACCCGCTCCGTACTCTGGGAGCAGTCCAGCTTAACCCTAGATCCTGGCCTGTGCGGCCGACAAGGCCGAGATCGAGAGCAAAGCGGACATACATAGGGTTCTCATTGCTGAGTCCAAGGAAAGGTGTCGCTAGAGCGATGAAGTTGACAGGGCGGATCAGATTAAAAAATTCAGGCGAGTGCTTCTGAATGTATGCAATGGCATACGTCTGAACCAAACCTCCAAGAGAATGCCCGATAAAGCTAATACTCGTAATCTGGTAGTAACGATGCTCGTCTTCTGCCTCATCTGCACGAGTTCGAGACTCAGAAGGTTCGTTAAAAACATTTTCCTTCGCACTCTTCCATGCACCGAGTGATTCAGTGAACGTTTTAGTTCTAGATTGTTTAAGTGGTCTGTAGGGTTGATCTGGGTATGTCATGAACAAGACGTATTTCGCAAGTCGCTTGCCGAGATACTGTATTCCGCGTTCAGTACGTACTGCATTACCAGCAAATCCTCTAACTATGACTTGTTCGTCATCGCTATCGTCTTGATCGGCCGAATCATCATCGCGAACGGAACTTCAGCCAACATTAAGTCAGAAGGGTCAAAGGGATAGCCGGATAACAAATAATTGTCTTAACGCAAGCAATTCCAAAGCTTACCGATCTAGAGAAGAGGCGCCATTCGGCGCCTGCGGAGCCGAATTTTGTCTCAACTTGCAAGGTGCCCCTTTCTGTGTTTTCTTAGTTGCAGCGTCAATGCTTTCTTTCAAGTAAAGCATGTCTGCTCCAAGGTTGCTGTGTAGACCATGTGTAAGTACGACAAGGTGAACCTTTTTTCGACGCGCACAGGTTTGCGAAGCGGTGTCGAGTCGGTTGGCCCTTTCCACTGATTCCCCGTTCGCTGGTGGGATATTCGACGGAGATCCAGTGTGGTCGACGGCATCGCGTTCAGATGGAAAAGGAGGCGTATTCCAGAGACTGGCGGTGTCATCTATACGCAAACAAACCGATTTCGAAAAAACGCCTTTCGTAGCAACCACTTGCCTGCCTTTCGTTGTGGGCGTTACATGATCCTGTAGGTGAGCTGCTGAGTGAAGCCTGCCGACCGATAACCCGCCACTGTAGGGGAGTTCAACTGACTCCTCATCACGGCCGATGAGTAGCTCATAATTGACAATAGCTGTGGTGGAGAAAATAACCTGCGATATTATCTCGATAACCCATGTCACGTTTTGAATGCAGTGGGGGGATGCGGGCGTCTCTGGAATTCGATGCAGGCGTTTCGGTATAGGGATCATTGCTTTCCAGCTCCCTCCTGCCTTGAGGTATGGTTCAAACTGAGGGATGCCCCCAATTTCCTTATCCTGGGAATGGGCATGAGGGTCGAATGTGGAAGGATAGCAGGAGGCATAAAGAGTATATGGCCCATGCAGGTACGCAGCCCGCAGTGCGATGGCAGATGTGTTTCTGACCTTGACATGTAGCGCATCTGGTAGAGGATGAACATTGTCAGCTACTGGTGTGTAAGTCACTGTGTATCTGTTTGAGAACAACAGATTAGTATCATGAGTAGAGTGTATAGGAACTACAACACCTGGTGGGACCAAGGAGACGTATAATGTGATACAAAAGACGAACCTGATTGCTTCTCCTACACGGACACTGCCAGCTTGATGCACCAACAACATATCAGTAGCTCTTTGGGTTTGTACTGTGTCTGCTTGCCACCCAGTTATTGAATGAAATTTTAGGGACTTGAATTGGGAGAAAGAAGCTATTTCCCGGTCTGGCCTTTGGGAGGTAAGATACAATCGAGGCGTGATGAACATCTGGATATAGACAGAATCATCTCTTTTATAGTGATGACCACAATTCTTATGATCTCCAAGGATATTGTAAAAGCGACGGTTCGAGATCGATAAATCATGGCATTATTTAACATGTAAGAAGTTGAGAAATACCCTGAGAAACTAGGGGCAGACCAGAGTGATTTAGCCTCTTCGCCACGGAACTGATCTACATAACTATCATTACAACAGTACCTCTGTACGACCAGAGTAAATAAATTCTGTCTCTGATATAGTTATTATGAGTTATAGTGCTTTATATGCGCTAAAGCCACTCTCAATTCTGTAATGTATAGATCTTAAAATAGCATAGAAAGGTAATAAGTATCATTCCGGAACAATAGCAGTTGGAGATTAAGTCTATGTATTATTCTGTACACCCAATTTACAGGCCAAAGTGTTTGCACACCTCGACGTAGTTCTCTTATGTTTGCCAGCTTTTAAGGAAATACCTGTAGATACCTGGTGTAAGCTATATCAGGTCTTACGAAGTTACGAACCATAAGTATGGAGTATTTTCTCCCTTTAGTCATGCAATTTCTAGATATGTACAAGGATCTATATGGTACTCCCTGCTAAGGTAGTTAGCCAGGGTCTTCTTAGTCCTTCCCTATCTACATACCCAGTCCTGTGAATGGTAATCTGATAAGCTATGATTATGTAATCATAAAGACCATACATCACATCATCTCCTGTTGCCTCTGGTGAAAGGTAGCTTAGCAGCCTCACACTTATTACCCGCGCATAAACAGAATCCCAGTTGTTCCTGCTCATTCGTTAATAGCACTACAGACATCTCTCTTAACCTAAATATTATCTCAGCAGGCACAGTTGAATTATAGATCACTATGACTTTACCTGCCAGTGATGCAAACTCACAAACCCACACAGGCGCTCACAAAGCTCCACCGATGCGATTTCGTCGTCCTAAAGTTGCAGACCCTTTAGTCAGGCCAAAAAAGAGGGTTATCGCACGACCGGCAGCCACTTCGGCTTCCTCTGTTGGTATAGCCACAAAACCAACAACAACTCGTCCAGTAATTTCCAATATCACGCCCGCGACCCAAGCCGAGAAAGCTGCCCCCGCCCCCCCCCAAAATGATTTCTCAGTGAATGGTTTCAGCGGTCCTTTACTGTCTGAGACTTATGTGGATTATCCCATAGTGATCACGAAGCGATCGTTGCGAGAAGGTTTGAAACATCACATCGCTCGCTTCGCGTCCAAGAAGACTATCGATCCTCGTGATGAGTCTCAATTTACCCGACCTGTCAGACTTCAACGTCGAGACCCTAGAGCAAAGACGCAAGAGATGAACCAGGACAAAGGCCAAACACAGAAGTTGACGCCTCAATCTAGT